CTCAATTTCATTGATTTTGGCTCTGATTTTAGTTATTTCCTGTCTTCTATTGGTTTGTTCTTTTTCTAGACCCTTGAGATGTAATGTTAGATTATTTATTTTGTATCTTTCTATTCTTTTAATATATGAGCTCAATGCTATGAACTTTTCTCTTAAAATCATCTTCATAGTGTCACGGAGATTTTGATATATTGTATCACCATTCTCATTTACTTCTAAGTATTTTTTAAATTTTCTCCCTTAATTTCTTCTGTTATCCATTTGTCATTCAAAAGTCTCTAGGTGTTGGAGTGCTTTCTATTTTTTATTTTATTGTTGATTTCTAATTTCATTCCATTATGATCTGATAGAATGCAAGGCATTATCTCTATTTTTTTAAATCTGTTAAGATTTGTTTTGTGGCCTAAAATATGGTCTGTTTTAGAAAATGTTTCATGTGCTGCTCAGAAAAAAGTCATTGATAAATGAAATATTCTATATATGTCTGTTAGATATAAATTATTAATTGTATTTTTTAGTTCTGTAGCTTCTTTATTTAGTTTTTGTTTAGATGGTTTAGAGAGGCATGTTAAATTCACCCAGTATTTTTGGGTTGTGGTCTATTTGATTTTAGGATTTGTTTGATGTATAGAGATGTCCATTGTTTGGTGCATAAATATTTACAATCATTGTTTCTTACTGATGTATGATTCCCTTAAGCAGTATGAAATGGCCTTCATGGTCTCCTCTGATTACCTTTGGCTTGAAGTCTGCTTTATCTGATATGAGGATAGAAATCCCTACTTGTTTATGAGATCTATGTGAATGGTATTTTTTTCCCATTCTTTTGCCTTCAGTCTGTGGATGTCTTTGCCTATGAAATAAGTCTCTTGGAGATAGCATATTGTTGGGTCCAATCTGCTGACCTTTGTCTTTTGATTGAAGAGTTTAGCCCATTTACATTCAATGTTATTATGAAGAGATTATTTTTATTTCCTGTCATTTTAATTTATTTCTGTTTTTTTAAATTTGAATTGGATTCTGTCTTGATTGACTAGTCTTCTAGTGTAGTTCCTTCCTCTGCTAGTTTTCATTTTTATTTTTCATTTCTTCTTCATGAAATATTTTAGTTATTTCTTTTAGCTTTTGTTTGTTGTGGAAGGTTTTTATTTTATCTTCTAGTCTGAATCTTAATTTTGCTGGGTATAGTATTCTTGGTTGGCATCCATTTTCTTTCAGAGCTCAGTATATATTATTCCTAAACCTCCTAGCTTTTAGAGTTGGGGTTAAGAAATCAGTTAAGATCCAGATTGGTTTACCTCTAAATATGAAGTATTAATTTTCTTTAGCAGCTTTTAGAATTTTATCCTTATTCTGTATGTTAGTTGTTTTCATAATAATATGTCTTGGAGTAGATCTGTTATAGTTTTGTATATTTGGAGTCCTGTATACCTTCGCTTATTTGAATTCCCATTTCATTCTTAAGGTTTGGAAATTTTTCTGTTATTATTTATTTCCTTGAAAAGATTGTGTATTTCAGCAGGTATAGTGGCACACACCTATAATCCTAGTGGCTTAGGAGGCTAAGACTGGAGGTTCGCAAGTTCAAAGCCAGCCTCAGCAAAAGCGAAGCACTAAGCAACTCCATGACACCCTGTCTCTAAATAAAATACAAAATAGGGCTGGGGATGTGGCTCAGTGGTTGAGTGCTGGGTTTTGTTCTGCTACTAAAATGCTCAGGGGTCACTCCAGGGGAACTGGGCTAACTGAGCTTTGCAAAATAACCACACAAGAGACAGAAATACCTTTTTCTTTTGGGGTTGCTGTGACGGCTCCTCTGACCTTAAGGGTCCATAGAAAGAGAGATAGAGCACACTCTGACCCCTTTTATTGAGGAGAAGCTATTCAAATGAGGCAAGGGGTCAGGTTTCAAGGGGCTGAGTCTATCTTCATGATGTCCACTATCAGCAGGTTGACTGACATCTAGGTAGGCCATACCCAAGGGCACAGTAAGAGAAGGGGACACACACAAGGTGTTTCCATGGAATATTCCATCCCAAATAGGGCAAGGGGTAATATTACAAAGGAACAGGTGAGCGTAGCTTCACCCATGGGGCTATAGCCAGACACACCCATGCACGAGACACCATCCCTCCAACCCAAGAAGGGTGGGGAAGGTCTAGCAGAATGCTACCTGACGCCTCAGCACCCAGCCAGGGAGTGTGACTTAGTCACGTGCAAGGTTGGTCTCCCACAGTTGAGTACCCCTGAATTCAACCCCCCACCCCCCTAAAAAAAATTGTACATTACTTTAATTTGTGTTTTAGAGCCTTCATCTAGCCCGATGAATCTTAAATTTGGCCTTTAATGTTATCCCATATTTCTTAAATATTCTGTTCACAGTCTCTGAACATCTTTTCTCTATGGTCACCTTTATTTTCAAGATCATATACTTTGTCACTGATGCCTGAAAATCTGTCTTCCAAGTAGTTTAGTCTATTGGTGATACTTTTCATTGAACTTTTAAATTGGTTTGTTTATTCCTTCATTTTGAGGATTTCTAATTGATTCCTTTCAGAATCTATATCTTCTTATTGAAATGATCTTTCACTTCTTGTTTTTTCTATCTGATTTCACTCCTTATATTGTCTTTCATCTCATGGAACTCTTTAACTATGAATTTTCTAAATTCCTTTTTTGGCATTTCTTCCACTGTGGTGTCAGTGAAGGATGTTGTTTAGGCATTTGGAGTTGTTTGGGATGGTTTGTTCCTTGTTTTTTTTTTTTCATATTGTTTGTATGTATGCACATCTATCAGTATGGTTCTGAAGTAACAGAGTTTCTACCCTGTGAACATGTAGTGTCTCTGTAGGTTTCCAGTACCTCAAAGATTAGGGAGAAATAATAGTAACAACTAATGCAAACAATATAGAGCATTAAACTAAATATTTAGTTCCTGCTATGACATCTACAATATTAATTGCTACAAAAAAAAAACAGAAATGGTAGGGTCAGCAATTTTCATCAGCACAAACAATAAGTAACCCTGTGTTATATCTGGATTAAATCAAATAAGAGGTATCAACTGTGGCATCCACAGCAGTAATAATTGCAGTAGCATTAATGGTGGGGGCAGGTGTTATATAAACCAAAGTAGTGCTAAAAGATGGTAAGATTAGAGTTAATTAGGATAAAATAAAATGTGATAGGAAGGCAGAAAAGTTTTTATAATTCCAAAATGTGAACAAAAAGAATGCAGAAGAGATGTAGGATGTGATGGTTATAAGGAAGGAGAAAAAAATAGTAATAAAAATGAAAGGAAGAGTGAAAGAATAGTAGACTTTGGCTGTTAGAATAAAAGAGAGAAAGAGAAACAAACAGACAAATGAAAACCAATATAAAACAAAACCAAAATATACTATTCAAAAACCTTAACCCTAAAAGACAAGGCAAGGAAAAATAAGTACATTTTTTTAAAGTACTACACATGTGAAAAAAGAAACCAATATGTATCTGTGTATATATCCATGGAGCATTCAGCAGACATACATAGAAAATATAAACACACACACAAAACTAAAATTAAAGAAGAAAACAAAAAAGAGAGAGAGATTCTTAATGAAAATTAAGGAATTGTTTCCACTGACTTGGTAAAATAGTCAATGAGAATATATGTTCACAGTCTGTGCCCAACTATTTTTTTTTCCATTTCTTCTTGAGTTATATACTAAACATGACAGTAAGAGCCAAGGGTTATTCCCTTCCTTTTTTTGTGTTGCTCACCAAGTTGCAAGTTGGAGTTCAAAAATTATCAGCTTCACTTCTTACCAGAATGTGGTAGGATGGGATGGGAGGTGCTGTCAGCTAGAGTTTGGTCTGTACAGAACAATTTGATGCACTCCCAGGGTTGGGCTGCTGCAGAGTTCTGTGAGTGCAGTTTCAGTAGGTGGAGTTCCCATGGTGGTTGTGATGGGGGTGGGGGAGCTTAGATCCAATCAGGCCCCAGATGCTTTTCTGGGTGGTGACCAGCTCTGGAGAGATCAGTGCACCCCTAGGGCCCACCAGTTGCCCTTCTTTGCTGGGAGACTATCCAATGAGTGATTCAGGAGGCTGAGGCAGGAGGATGGTTAAGTTCAAGGCTAGCCCCCCAACAACTTAGTGAGGCCCTAAGCAATTTAGTGAGATCCTGTCTCAAAAATAAAAATGGCTGGGACTGTGGCTCCATGGTAAAGTGCCCCTGGGTACCTAAAGGGGAAAACAAAAAAGAACTAGTTGTGTATCTATTGATAAATGAATTCTTTAAATTTGGTTTGAGGATTATAAATAACCTATATACAATATCTAGCTTAGCATTCAGTAAGCAGTTTAATATATAATGATCATAATTACTATTATTATTGCATAAATAATAGTATTCTTTTTAGATACTAGTTTCAGAGATTAATGAAATTATTTCCCTGACCATTAATATCTCTTTTTATTTGTGTTAGTGGACATTGTATCTGTTTAAGGTGTTATAGGAAGGAAATACAAAAGAATACTGATAGGCTCTACATCATTTCTTGGAAGTATATGAGCAGCATGATTACAAGGCTGCCTTCCAGAAACAGTGAGTCGGGTATGCTACTTAGGTGTATGCATTAGGACAGATGGATGAATAACCTCGTTTGTTCAAAAACAACAAACTATTCCAGTTTATAGAATTGCTTCCTTAACCTTGTATTCCCACTATTCATGTCTGTCTCTTCCTAACCTTATATTCCCACTATTCATGTCCGTCTCATTAGATGATGATAAATATATAAATTAGTAAAAGAAATTAAGAGAAGACATCAATGTTTTATGTCTATGTGGAGCTGGGGATTAAACCCAGGGCCTGTGCATGCTAATTATACATTCTACCACTGAGCTACATCACCAGCTCAAGAAATGATAATCTCAATTATCCCGATGTTTTATTTTGATTTGTATAATTGTACCTCTATATATTCAAGCCTGTTATCTCTCTTTATTTCATACAGCTATTGGATGAACTCCCAATGATTTACAGCTGTTGCATATTTGTATACTGCATGTAAGTACTTTAGATTTCAGTTGTTTGGTATACTTTTGAATTCATATTTTTCTCAAGGAATTAATATAACTAACCCAGTTATATTACTAGGATATTATAATGATATAGAAGATTAGAAATTTTATGATATCAAAATTTATGATATCAAATTGATGAGTATAATTTCTTGTAAGTATTAATAATGTTATTTATTAACTTTTGTGATCTCAAACCCCGTAGCCAATTTAGATAAAATCTTAATTGTACTTCTGTTGTTCAATTTGCCTTTCCTTATGTAAAGAATTTAGATTTAGATACTGGTTATATTTATTATTCCATGATATATAATATCATATTAACAGTTTCTTAACAGAAGCTTACCAGAAAAATGAAGTACACTTCTAGTTGTACAATAATGTGTCATTTTAATCTCTTTGTTTTGAAATTGCTTACTAAATAGTATTTGTTTCCTTTTAATTATTCTTATTCTAAATCACAGTAAAGCTGTCAAGGATGCGCTTATTTTGATTGGTTGTTTACAAATATGAATGCGAATATTGAATCCAAAGTTCCCTTTCTGGTTCATATTTTTTATTTCAATCTCAAGTTAATTTGTATTTCCTGAATGACAAATCTTGAAAAATAAAATGAAAGAACATTAGTAAACATTAATATTGCCTTTGTACTGTACTACACCATCTCTAATTCTGCACAGTTGTGCAAGATAAATGGTTATTGTCCTTATTTTGTAAATAAGAAAGTGAAGCACAGAGAGATTTAGTAACTTAACTAAGTACTTAAGCAAGCTTTTTTATTGGAGGTCCCAAGAAAATTTCCTGAGAGTTCCACCCAAGTCCACCTCTTAACTTTTGACTGACTGCAGGATTACATCGGATTTTCAATCCCCACTGTACATCACAACCCTGTGCATGACAACTTTAGCTCATACTGACAATGCTAATTGGAGTCAGTTCTTACGGGGTTTTATGGTTAGGGAGAATTATCCTTATTTCCTTGTATTCTGAAATCTGGTCTGTGTAAAAGTAAAAAAAAAATTCTCCTTCAGGGTATCAGCATTTAGTGCATTTCTCCTGCAGATAACAGGTTGTTTGCTGAGGAGCGTAACATATCCTTTCCAGTTAAGCCAGGTAGGGCTGTAGGAAAATTGCTGAGAGAGAGAGAGAGAGAGAGAGAGAGAGAGAAAGCTTGTGGGGATCAATACAGTGGACCCAGTTTATAGAATTGCTTCCTTAACCTTATATTCCCACTATTCATATCTGTCTCTTCCTTATTTCCACTTCTAAAAGTTAGTAGCATATACTAAAGTAACTCAAAGGGATTTTGAGTTACTGAGCTGTAATAAACCATACCACCCTGAGTTCTAAACCTTTACTAAAACTCAGAAACAATAAAAGGAAGAATGCTCATTTATTGGTTAGATTTGTATGGCATCAAACCCTATTGTCCTGTTTCAAAGGTAGGTGAAAAGAAGTTCAAGAACAGTGATTAAAAAAAAAAATAGGGATTGGCAAACTTTCTCTGTAAAAGGACCAAATAGTAAATATTTTAGGCTTTGCGGGCCTAGGGTCTCTGTTGCAACTTTTCAGCCTTGCTGAGAGTGACTTACAAAAACAGTCTCAGAACTAGTTAAGGTGGTACATGCCTATAATCCCAGTCTCGCAGGAGACCAACACAGGAGGATCAGAAGTTTGAAGCCAGCTGGATAAATTAGTGAGATCTTGTCTTAGAATAAAAAATTTAAAGAACTGGGAATGAAGCTTAGGAGTAGAGTAACCCTGGATTCAATCCAAGGTGCCACTATTAAGGAAAAAAACAACTCCCAGGCTGAGAAATTGGCCCTTAAGCTATAGTTTGCTATCCCCATCTAAAAAAGTACTTGTGGATGAGCTCCTTTTAGTAACATATTTTAAAAACTATTCTGATATTTTTATATCTTTAGAAGAAAATGTTCTTGGGCTAGTAATGATGACCATATTGGGAAAAAATACTAGATAATCATATAAAATAGGTTCAGAAAATACTCGTGTATTAGGTTAGGGAACAGAAGGGTATTACTTAGAAATAAGGATAGGACTGGGGATTGGGAATGTAGCTTAGTGATAGAGCACTTGGCTAACATTCATGAGGCTGCAGGTTTGATCCACAGCTACACACACACACACACACACACACACTAAGGATATTAAAACTTGTAGTTCAGTTTCTAGCTCTGGTAATTACTAACTGCATGACCCTGGGTAAGTCAATATTTCTATTTCTTCGTTTGTTTCTCATTGGAAGTTGTAGTACTTACAAATTTCTCATGAAGATTAAATTAAATGATTTATTTGTTTATAATATAAACTTGTATGCTGTTGATGTATCAGGCACTGCGATGGGCACTGAGAATTGGAAAAGTAAGAAGTGAGCTTTTACCTCAGAAAATCTGAGGTTTTCAGTAGAAGAAACAGAACCAAAAACAAGCAGCCTTCCATGTAAGTGGTTAGTATTCTACAAAATCCAGTAGGGTAGGAAAGGATAGAACTTGCCACTTTATGAAAATGAAGCGTGGTCTCCCGACTGTCACTGTGAATAGAACAAGTTTCAAAGTTCTACCACCTCAGTATATAAAAAGGAATTTCTGTACACTGCTTCCTTCCTTCCTTCCATATGAGGGATTGAACCCAGGGCCTCATGCATACTAGGCAAGTGCTTAACCACTGAGTCACATCCCCAGACCCTGCCATAGTACACTTTAAGTGACTCTTAGAAGGAAATGAAAAGAATGAAATAATTTTAAACCATTTTACTGAGGTATGAGTAACATATAATAAGATGTATTTTAATTAATTTATATATAAAGTATATTTAATTGTATAATTTGAGTTTTGACAAATGTGTACTCACACCATTATCCTTATATTAAGAAATAGAACATGTTGATCACTTGAGAACATTCCTTTCTTCTATATTACAGTTCATCCTGACCCCATCCTCTGCTTTTCTATAGATTAGTCCTATCTGCTCTTAAATTTCATGTAAAAGGAATTAGGCAATATGTACCTTTTTATGCCTGCCTTCTTTTGTTCAATATGATTTTTTGAGGTTCATCTATGTTATTATCAGTATCAGTAGTTCATTCTTTTTTTTTTAATGCTAGTAGTAAGTATTCCATTATATAGATATACCATTCACCAATGATGTGCATTAAGGTTGTTACCAGTTTGGGGCTCTTATGAATAAAGTGACTACATTCTGTGTACAGGTCTTTAATTGGATATATCTTCTCATTTCTATTGGGTAAATACCTAGAGGTGGAATTTCTGGGTTGTATAAGTCTACACTTTATAGAAACTGCCAAACTATTGTCCAACATGTTATATTTTATTATAGTTCTACTAACAAATATACAAAGAATCTCATTGCTCCATATCCTTGCTAATACTTGGTGCTACCAGTCTTGTTATTTTTAATTTTTCTGGGGAGTATGGAGTACTGTCTCTGGTGTTTTAATTTGCATTTCTTTAAGAACTAATGATGTTGTCCATCTTTCCATGTGCTAGTTGGCCATTTGTATGTCTTAAGAAATATGTTCAAGCATCTAGATATATAGCTTAGTGATAGAGAGCTCACCTAGCAAGTACAAGACCCTGGCTGTTATCTCCAGCACCACCAAAGGAAGAAAGGGAAAAAAATAAAAAGAAGTGTCTGTTCAAATCTTGTGCCCTTTTGTTGGAAACTGAGTTGTTTTTCTTCTTATTGAAGTGTACAATTTGGGGGGGGATTGAAGTCCTCTCCAATATTTATCTTAAATATTTTTTTCAGTCTATGAATTATCTTTTCATATATATGTCTTTTTATTTTATTTATTTATTTTGTAATGTGGTGCTGAGGACCGAACTCAGTGCTTCATGCATGCTTGGCAAGCGCTCTACCACTGAGCCACAACCCCAGCCCCCATTAATGTGTCTTTTGATGAACAGAACTTTTAAATTTTTACGAAATCCAATTTATTTAAAAAAATTTTTAAGTCTAGTACTTTTTGTGTCAGAAGAGCTCTTTGCCTTCCCCATGGTCAAAAAGATTTTCTGTTTTGTTTGCTTTTTTCCCCAGGAGTTTTATTAACTGTAGTTTTTGTATTTAGGCTTATGATCCATTTGGGTCAATTTTGGGTATGATTTAAGGCAAGGTTGAAGGTCATATTTTCCTGTGCTAGTAACTGGTTATTGCATAACATCATTTTTTTCTTTTTTTTTTTTTAATGTGGTGGTGGTGAGGATTGAATCCATATTTTCCCCTGCTAGTAACTGGTTATTTTTTTAACATTTTTTTTTTTTTTTTTTTTTTTTTTTTTTGTGGTGGTGGTGGTAAGTATTGAACCCAGGGCCTTGTGCATGCAAGGCAAGCACTCTACCAACTGAGCTATATCCCCAGTCCTACATACCATCTTTTGAAAAGATTATTCTTTCTGCATTAAATTATTTTTATTTTTTTTTAATATTTATTTTTTAGTTTTAGGTGGACACAATATCTTTTTTTTTTCTTCCTATGTGGTGCTGAGGATTGAACCAGTGCCTCATACATGCTAGGAGACCACTCTACCACTGAGCCACAACCCCAGCCCATGCATTAAATTATTATGACAAATTTTTTCTAGTCTGTTCTATCCTTATGTCAATACCATGTTGTCTTTTAGTTATAGCAAGCATTATTGTAAATCTTTTTTTTTTTTTTTTGGTATCAAGGACTGATAAACTGGAACCCAGTGGTGCTCAACCATTGAGCCACATCCCCACCCCTTTTTAAAAATATTTTCTTTAGAGAACGGGTCTCTCTGGGTTTCTTAGGGATATACTAAATTTCTGATGCTGGCTTTGAACTCTGAATCCTCCTGCCTCAGCCTCCCAAGCTGCACATTATTGTAAATCTTGAGATCAGTCAGAACAGTCCTCCTGTTCTGTTCTTTTTCAGTATAGCTTTGGATGTCCTAAATCCTTTGCAATTTTGCATTCATTTTAGAGTCAGCTTGCCAACTTCTACCAAAAAAAGTCTGCTGGAGGGGCTGGGGTTGTGGCTTAGTGGTAGACTGCTCACCTAGCATGCATGAGGCACTGGGTTCGATCTTCAGCACCACATAAATGTAAAATAATATATTGTGGCTACCTAAAACTAAAAAATGAATATTAAAAAAAAGTCTGCTGGAGCTAGGGATGTAGCTCAGTGGTAGACCTAGTTGCCTAACATGGAGGAGGAGGAGGAGGAAAGAATGGAGGAAGAGGAGGAGGAAAGAATGGAGGAGAAGGAGGAGGAAAGAATGGAGAAGGAGAAGGAGGAAGGAATGGGGGAAGAGGAAAGAATGGATGAGGAGAAGGAGGAGGAGGAGGAAAGAATGGAGGAGGAGGAGGAAGAGGAAGAGGAAAGAATGGA